TACACGAATCGTGGACCATAATGCGTTTCAGCGCCATTTGTAATAAGGGATTCGAAGAACGAGACTAGACATATTCCACAAGTCATGAAGAGAGCTTGCACAATAAATACTATCGGTGTAAACAGGAATAACCAGACGCTAGAGATTGCCATTTGGCGTATTTCACCGAACATAACTGATTTGAAATTAGAGTAAAAACGAAAACGATTGAATGTAAATCAGTTTATATTACATTTATGCAACCCATTTGTGTGAATTTCTAAGTCCCAAATATTAGCGATTTAGCTCCTTTAAAGAAGAGCCAGTGACAGAGGAGATATAAAAATACATGACGAGATGATTTTATCTGGGAGAATAAAAGCCTCGATATACGACATGTAATCGATTTAACCACCCTGAAATAAACAACTAATTTTGGTTAAATTACAGACGGAATTGGAGATATGCCAGGTCATTGGATTAACCAAGGTCGAGATAAAGTTACTCGTCTTTAGTTGTGTAGATCTTTCAAGGTATTTATCTACTGGGAACGGTGTCTAGTCTTTCGGATGGCATTAAAAAAAACCCAGATCGTTCCAAGTATCTATCGGATGGGATGAAAAACGTAGATCTTTCCTAAGTATTTATCGCCTGGGAAGTTCGAATGGGAAGAAAAACCGAGGTCTCGCTTACACATTGAAATACATGTACAAGAATCCTAAACGGTTGGAATTCAAAATAAAAGTATGTAGTAGCGTGGCGGTCCGAGGAAAAGTTCGCTCTTAACATATGGCTTATTTACACCTCCATTGCGGAAAAGTAGGCAGTAGCGTGGCGGTCCGAGGAAAAGTTCTCTCTTAACATATGGCTTATTTACGCCTCCATTGCGGAAAAGACGGATGTAACCTAATTTCCAATCTGATTCAAATACAGATCTATATTTCGTTTCGTTCTTTTATACTTTCGATGGCCTACACTACATGAAGATCTGACCGGTTGTACTGGAAGGTCGCGTCAGGTGTCATACAAGCGGCTTTTGACCTTATGACGTCAGACATTGATTAATTAATCAGCGTTGACGTTTCTAATGGTTTGCCCAAATTTCCGTGCACTTCACCCCAAAAGCTCGCCGTAACAGACCGTTTCATTGGCTAAAACCTGACACTATTCAGAACATGACCTTTAATCAGATTGACCTTATTTCATAGCATTTTACGGGGTCCTAAAGAACCAACAATAGAATTTCTGTCAATAGCCCCTAAAGTATGGGAAAAGGTGACCGACATGGAAATATATGTTACTAGCGGATGACCTGACACTACACGGGTTGTGCCTATAACTCCGAAACCGGAAGCGGTAGGTCAACGCCACCTGGCCTATCTTACTCCCCGGTCCGAGCTACAAACCCTGAACAGACAAACAGACAAACGACAGTCACCAATATTACTATGGATAGAGATGTAGGCCTACATCCTACACATCATTTCCAAAAGGTGTGTGAGAGAGAGAGAGAGAGAGAGAGAGAGAGAGAGAGGGCGATTAACGTCCACTCGACACAAACTAGGTCATTTCTGACCCGTAGCCAGTTTGCTAGCTTCGGAGGGGCAGTGACGTTTTTAGTGGGGGCACAGTCTACAGTAGGTATTTTAGAGCTATGATCGGCAATTTTTTTTTCGGGGGGGCAAAACATTTTTTCGGGGGGGGGGGGGGCCCTTGCCCCCCTCTGGCTACGGGCCTGTTCTGGACTAACATATGGTTCAATTTTATTTCAATAATTCGCTTGTGAGTAGGGGTGTTTAGCAGTGGGAGGACCGGAGGACCCGGAGAAAACCCACGTACAACCGGGGATTCGAAACCACACCGCTTGACTCAATATCAGACCTTATGATGCAGCGCGCCCGCGCTAACCATTCTACATTCACCCCACCGCCACCCCCTATCCAAAAAGTAAATGATTTCATAAATAAAGTGACAAAATGATGGAAAAGTGAAATGTCGGTGAATAGCATGAACCTCTATTTTCCTAGTATTGGTCGCGTGGTTTCTCCTAGTCAGTGGTGTGGGGGCTGCCAAGGACAGCTGCCTAGTCGTTCGGATGGGACGAAAAACAAAGTCCCAACCGATGTCCCTTGTACACATTGGCCTGCACGTAAAGAACCCATCACAGTTTCGATATAAGAGTAAGATGTAGCGCCTCTGTCCGGGCAAAATAAAATTTCCCTCCCCCATAGCATACTTTATGGTGTATACCCATCTTCATTAGCCCCGGTGGATCAGACCAGTAGGACGTTAAACCCTATTATTAAGGGTTAATAAATAAGGTGAGGTGATTTTCTGAGAGAATTAGCCCCGGTGGATCAGACCAGTAGGACGTTACCCCCTATTATTAAGGGTTAATAAATAAGGTGAGGTGATTGTCTGAGAGAATTAGCCCTGGTGGATCAGACCAGTAGGACGTTAAACCCTATTATTAAGGGTTAATAAATAAGGTGAGGTGATTGTCTGAGAGAATTAGCCCCGGTGGATCAGACCAGTAGGACGTTAAACCCTATTATTAAGGGTTAATAAATCAGGTGAGGTGATTGTCTGAGAGAATTGATTATATAGGAACTGGTTGTTCCTGTAAACAATCCCAACCATTGTCAGATACACGTAATCTCAATTCTACTCTTTCGTGATCTATAATAACTGGATTCAGACCGGTGATTAAATCCTATTATTTCCATATGTAGTTCGTTTATTTATAGTAATTCGTTCTATTTCCTCTGTTCGTGAACGCACGAACACGATGAACAGTTGCTCGGGGTCTCACTAGAACAATCCTCCGTGTTTCGAGATAAGAGATGGTGCTATATATAGTTCCATATGACAAACCCCCAACAGGGATCACATCGGGCCTCAGTAAACAACTTTTATCATCAAAATAAAGATTGATTATTGTTATTCATAACATTTCTGTCACATTCAACTACAATGAAGCATATAGCCCTACCTGACACAGGTACAAATCATGTCTTTTTAAATCGAAGCGATAATAGCCTGGCTGTCGGACATTTTAAATTGACATCTTTGACGTCATGAAGGCGGGGCGTCGTGTACCACAGCCAATCAGAGTACTAACCTGATATGAGTTGCGCAGGAATAATACACCGTAATATGAATGTCCGTGTCAATTTTTGATAAAAACAACACTTGATTTAATTTATTGACAATATTTGTAGATAAACGAAAGTTGTTTCACTAGAGTGGGGTGCGTATGTTTAACAAGTCCTAATTGTATAAAATTAACTTATTTTCAAGATGTAACATGCATTAATAAAGAAAATGAGTTTGCCACATGGAACTAAAGGCACCCAATCGTAGCTAAAACAAGCACATCAGAATATCTCAACGTATTTAGCTACGTTCTCGTAACTAAGGATTCCCTATACAAGATAAAGGGGAGATAACTCCATATACCAACCCGAGTTAATCTCGGTTATTCTAAATCGACTATTTTACAGTGTACCATATTATGTTCATAGAGGACTGAATGTGAAAGCATAGACCTCACTCCCCTGTTATGTTTAATTCAACGAGTGGTCCTCAGTCAAGAAAGGAGAAAAACGACGGAATTTAACGTTCACTCATTTAAACCTCACCACGCCACATTACCCCATGCAACCACACCGCACTCTCCCATGCTAAACCACACCACACTAGCCCATGCTAAACCACACCACACCACATTACCCCATGCAACCACACCGCACTCTCCCATGCTAAACCACACCACACTAGCCCATGCTAAACCACACCACACCACATTACCCCATGCAACCACACCGCACTCTCCCATGCTAAACCACACCACACTAGCCCATGCTAAACCACACTACACCACATTATCCCATGCAAACCACACAACACTCTCCCATGCTAAACCACACCACACTAGCCCATGCTAAACCACACCACACCACATTATCCCATGCAAACGTCCTACTGTTCTGCTTCCCCTGGGAGTGAGGTAGGGTGGCCGAATGGTTAACGCGTGCGCGCTGCATCATAAGGTCTGTCATTGAGTCAAGTGGCGTGATTTCAATTCCCCGCTCGTACGTGACAAGGAGTAGGGTCGCCTGTCCAGGCTCGTGGGTTTTCTCCGGGTACTCCAGTTTACCCCCACTGCTAAAGACCCATACGCGCAAGCAAATTGATTAATGAAATAAAATTGAACCATATGTTAGACCCGAAAAAACCTAGTTTGTGTCGTGTGGAGGTTTAAACCCCATTTCGACCTACTCTTGTATAGAATTCTCAAGGATTCTGTTATAAGCACGCATCCGAACGACTATACGTTGTCCCTTGGTAGCCCCTCCGCCCTGCACCACCGTCAAGGGGAGTCCACACCGTAAAAACCCGATGAACGTTTTCGACCAACACAGGGATCGAACATGGGAGTCTTACCCACAGCCCCCCTCCCCATCCACGCTAATCGAACACCCGTGATAGAACTGGTTTCAATATATTTTGTGCCCTGTTGTCGCCTCTTCTCCGCCACGTTTCAACCGTGTATTTTACGTGCACGCTTTCGGGCACACATGTTTCCTTGCAATCTGTTTCACAGAGATCTTTTAATATCTCTGTTACAGATGACTGTTTCGACACGTGACGTCACATCACGCGGCGTCAATCATTGGCTCAATAGCGCGTGCATTGTTTACATAAGACCTTACTGATTCGGGCTAAATGGTGAATTTTACTTATTTTAATACCCATTTACACTAAATAGGAAATGATTTTTACCTACAAACAATTCAAACGTCTTTATTTATTTTTCTAATAAATGAAAAAAATGTTTTAGAACTTAATTTGACGGAAGAAAAAAGTTAATATTTTGGACTCATCAAAGTTGCATCGATGTCATCCATATCAGTGATTGTAGAGGCCTAGCGAAAATTCACTGTTGATCAGTGGGGTTTCCTTGTCATGCCTTAAATGGCGTTCAGATACTTTAAAGGACAAGACTAAATCCGTTTTATTCCAGGAGATTTTATTTTATAAAAATAAACAAAAAGCATAAATAATTATCACAGTAAATAATAGCAGAAACAAGATAAAGACATGAATTAAAATAAAACCGGAGACCCGTACAATAATAATGGGTTTCTACAATACTTGACTAAAATCAGATGAAATTAAACATTTGAGCATAAACTCTGTTAATATTGAATTAACAATCTGATTAAAACGCAGATCCTGTTTCGTTTCGTTTTTTATAGTCCTTGTCACTGTGGGTAAACCACTAGAAACGTCAATGCTGATTGATTAATCAATGTCTGACATCATAAGGTCAAATGCCGCTCGCATGACCCCTAACGCGACCTTTCCACTACAACTGATCAGATCTTCATGTAGTGTAGGCCATCGAAGGTATAAAAAAAACGAAACGAAATATAGATCTGTATTTTAAACAGATTGATTGAAATGATTTAAGTTATGTATCAATGAATACCTGAAACCCATGGCACTTCTTGCCGACACACGAATCCCCGGGTTAACCCTTTAAACAATCTCTAAATAAATAAATCCCCAATTGACAACTCCCTGGCTACCTGGGCGACGATGGAGGAGGGGGACGTAGGTCCACCCAATACCTAAAAGAGGCAAAACAATAATAATGTTGAAAAGATTGCCCACCAATCACATGTACAACGATAAAAGGGGCATTATAAACGATTAGATGAAGAGCTGACAGTTCGCGTTATATTAGTTAAACAGCAGATAATGTAAAGGGAATATACTGAAAATTTCAGTCAAATTACTTCACTTTGAGTCGAGAAATGATCATTTTATTTTGAAAATGTTGTTTTGACTAGAAGGATGAGAATGATTGGATTTCAATACATAATATATCAATAAATAAAGTTAATTAATAATGATTAATTAATTAGGCACGAAATGAAATGAAATGAAATAAAAATGGGGTTTAACATCCTACTGTTCTGCTCCGACTGGGCTATTGAAGACGGGCATGCGCCACTATGGCGTACTCTTATATCGAATGTCAATTGCCATGGGATCTTTTACGTACATGCCAATGTATACACGGGATCTCGGTTTTTCGTCCCATCCGAAGGACTAGAAAGCTGTCCTTGTCAGACCCTCCATCCTGCGCCACTGACAAGGGCATTGGGCACGAAATAACGGATTTATAAATAAAACGCTTGATTAAATGACGCTGCCTTGGCGAAGGACTTTGAAAAATATACAGATCCAAACAAAAAACCGGAAAAATGCAGACAAAATGATGAGGACACAAAACAAAAGATTTATATTTGGTATAGAAGTTGGTGTGTATATACACAGTTTTCACCAACAGGTAGAAAGATGTTAATTGTGTTTTTCTCAGATTTTCACAGATTGAATCAAATAGATGTATGATAGTTTCTTCAGGTGTTCAATTGTCACCTGTCCATCAGTGACCTGTAATGTAATTATATAATAATATTTATAACAATAACAATATTCAATTGATTTTATTTTTATCTTCTGTCAGACAATTTGTCAAGTGCATCATATCCTGTTGATCTTGTATATGATAATGTCGTCTATTACGGCTAAATCTTTTTGTCAAGGTCGCTGAGATGTAAATAAGGCTAGGCCTAGGGTTAGGGTTAGGGTTGGGATTATCGCTAGCCCTGTTTTTATCTCGTGATCTACGACGAAACATTGAGCTGGCCTTCTCATTTAAGCACTAACCCTTCTATTACACAAAATGAAGAAAATCTAATTATACCGCGGCACACTGTGCGAACATTATTCGAACACAGTTGAGTCGAAATATTCGCTGCCGACGTTACTCGGGCAACGCATTGGACACATAAGACCCCTACGCACAAGACAATTATTGAAATTATTCGGTTAACCTCATTTCAAGCCAAACATGCCCCGAGAGAATAAACCCATTGACCCGACACGACGATAATTAGAAATTCACGTCATACCTGTAAACCTGTATATACCTGTCAAGTGTTATTATCCAGGTGTATATCATATATCATATATAATAAAACAGGTGTTTGAATATTATTAGGTATGGTATTCAGACAGAGGGGGAGAGTTGGGGTTTAAAGTCCATTCGACACAAACTAGGTATTTATTTTATGCGTAGTAAGTATATAAGATATTAAGTAAGTCAATGTTATATTTCTTGCTCCATATCACGATTATCTTCCGCTCAACACGCACTAGGCATGTCTGGACTTGTGGTAGAACAGGGTGCAAAGGCATTAATATTAATAAAGGCAATAAAAAAAATATAAAAAGCTTGTTACACACCTTGACAGATTCTGTCGGTAATTTTCCGGTTCTCTTGTAACATCACTTCATACGAAGGAAATCTGATGACGTAATGATCGTCGGGATAGGAAGACAATTCCGTCAATGTCCTGTCACTGTAAGTTGCACCGATAGCTATCGTATATATTTTCACATTTTGAAATTTGAGTCTCCTTGCTTCTAATACAGCTGCGTCCTTTCTTAATAGCTCACTATCCACGAACAGAACGGCGATTTTCTCGGAATCTCTTCTCGCGCCATTTGACGTTCTGAAACTATGACGACGAACGTGGTGTAATAAGGGCGATAACCCTGCCTCGTCGTCTGTTCTCAGTCTGTTGATGAACCAATTTGTTCTATGATAGGAGTTTAAATCTAAATAACCATCATCCGGACATTTTTCTTTCACAATTCCCGTATTAATGGAGATATCGTTAGGAAACTGACTAGTTATCTTGGCAATTGTCTTTGAAGCTATTTGGGTGTGGTCATGACCGAGACTAGAAGAATCCATCACGAACACCAAGTCTGTTAAACGATTTATTCTGCAAACTGAAAAAGAAAAGAAAATCCAAAGAGATGAGATTAATTAGTACAATCCGAGCTCAATGGATCCTTGTTTATGCATTCGACACTTGCGTTGTACTCTGAAATTCTCTTTTTCACTGGATTGACACTATTTTTGGAATTGAGAGAATTTAATTCCCGAACGTTCATTCGAGTATCCCCATATTCATTAGGTTTAATTACGTCACGATTCTACTCACACCACCTCTGTTGTCAGAACTATGACAGGGCTGAATTTCGCGTCACACGATTGCAATTTCGTCAGTTCGGAACGTTCTGGACTGACAATCTAGCAACCCCCTAGACTTTATTTCGACGAGCGGGCAAAGTGGGGTTTAAAAGGGGAATACACGATTAGAGCTAAATCATAAGGCCAGTTCAATTTTGCGTCATATGTCAGTGTTTATATGGAGACTTAACCTCTTCCCCAGATTCTTAAACATAGCCTACAATCTCACCAACAACCACGTGTCCTAACCTTGACAAAAATTGAGCTGGCCTTAACAAATAGATTTAGCCGGAATACGTCGGTTTTATTTCGTGTAACACAAAATAACACTGTTGCAAACCAATAACGATTAGACCACCGGGGTGTTGGCACGTGCGACTCAACCGCAATCAAATATCACATGACAAATTATCTTACCTGGTTGATCTGATAACGCCACGTGCTTTACTTGTACTGAAAAATAGATCGTCACACATTTATATAATGATTAAACATCCATTATGACGTCACATTAATAATGACGTCATTGTATTAATCATATTAAACCCACATTATGCAAGAGCTAAATCTTCCTATTGCAGGTCTTTCTTTAGGCCTGAAATGTTATATAAATTATTAACTAGACATTAATTAACTGATCCAGGCTTTAATCAACTCTCGATGGCATCAGATTTCTCCGATATTAAATAGATTAGAATGGTTCAGCGATACTTTGATTTAATCAAATATGGAGGACCGAGACTTAGCTTCGATCAACCAGTACGGTGGTTGAAATGGTTGCACACGTCTGTCAAACATTCAAAGACCAATATCTTCGCTTGCAATAGAGTAATTTGAATGAAATTTTCAAATTATTCATTTTACATCATCTACTTTCGAAATATTATAGCAAGAATGGCTAGTTCTTTATCTAAATCTTACATAATGTATCTTTATTAATATGTTTAACTGTCTTCTCATAGCTCCGTGCTTAACCAACAAGGGTGGTAACTCGCATGTACTACATAATCACTCGGGAGTTCAAGCCATTTCTTTTCGGGTAATATGTTAAAGGGTTAAAGGGGAAGGACCAACGATTTTCAACAAGGTTTCCATAAATCTTAAATATATATTCAGACATAATGCCCTCTGTAACACAAGCAAAAAAAGTTTTGTAAGCAAGAAATTAATTCTTATTAAAACCGGAAGTGATATATTTGGTTCATTGGGTTTACAGTAATGTCGTATACAGATTCGAGTCCAGCCATTTCAAGCGGAAATGGACGAGAAAAAGGAAAAGTCATTATATTATATGCCTCACATGCCAATACTTTTGTCAGCAAGCACAAAAACATCAAAACAGATGAAATAGATGTCACTTGCAAGCTGTCAAACAAACCAGTATCACGTGATATCAATAGTGCTGAGAAGTGTAGATAGTGATGTGGATCAATACACCTTCAGAACAGAAGGCACATTTGAATGGATACAGAAGTTATGGATGATACCTCCCTCCCCCACCACCCCGTTGTAAAATAAGGAATGGGGTTTAACGTCTCGTCAACATAATACTTCTGTCATTTTGAGACTTACATATGGATATGTGTACACAATACTAGCGGGAGAATTTTGCCTAGGCAACGGGTTTTTAGCATATCATTCTTTGAATTCTAACTGTAAAAAGGATTGATCTTTTACTTTTCACGTGTGGATCCCGGGATTTGTTTAAGAGAGAGAAATGGGGTTTAACGTCCAACCGACACAAACTAGGTCATTTCGGGACTAACACGTGGTTCAATTTTATTTCAATAATTCGCTTGCGCGTAGGGTTCTTTAGCAGTGCGAGGACCCGGAGAAAAGCCACGCGGTTAAACAGGCGACCCTACTCCTTGTCACGTACAACCGTGGAATCGAAACCACGCCAGTTGAATCAATGACAGACCTTATGATACAGCGCACATGCTAACCATTCGGCTATGCAACCCCAAGAATTTGTTTGACGTTAAAAGAAACAGCGTCTACATACCTCCACATGTTTTCACAGCAAGCAATTTTTCAATCTTAGCTAGACCCTTGTAATCATCAACACGAAATACAAAATTTTCATCCGGGTCACTAGCTATGGACATCATCTCCTCGTCATCTACATCTCGTCCTACACCAACAGCAAAAACATAGATTCCTTCTTTATGAGCTTGTCTTGATTCTTCTACAGTTTCAAATAAATGTCTTGATTGGCCGTCCGTGATCACTATAGCAACACGTGCTACTTCCGGTCTAGAGTTATCTCCCGAGAAACCGACCCGGCGAACGAATTTAATGGCGGCAGCGGTGCTAGTACCACCGGTAAGGTAAGGTATCTTCATCAACTTGGCATTAAATTCTGATTGTTTGTAGGAATCGAGAGGAATAACGGGATGTACGCCATCACTGAAGGTAATAACACCCACTCGTGTCTTGTTGGTACCCAAATCAAACTTGTCCACAACTTGTCTGACGAATTCCAACTGTGTCTGAAAATCTGGCTTCCAGATACTGCTGGAGGAGTCGAGGAGGAACAAGACATCAGCTGGTTTACCCCCACAAGCTAAAACAGACAAAATTCTGTCAATATATAATCTAAATACATAATAGAAATCTCATTAAAATACAGATCAAAATTTCGTTTCGTTTTTTTATACTTTCGATGGCCTACACTACATGAAGATCTGACTGGTTGTAGTGGGAGGTCACGTCATACCTATGACGTCAGACATTTGATTAACCATTTGATTGGTGTTTCTAGTAGGTTACCCATTGTTCCGTTCACCTCACACCAAAAGCTCGCTGTAACAGACCGTTTCATTGGCTAATCCTTGACATCATCCAGAACGCGGGTTATATAACAACTCTTCCAGATCCTAGTGTAGTAAAGACAAGTAAAACGAAATTTCGAACTATAAAAAACGAAACGAAATAGGATCTGTGTTTTAATCAGATTGATAGTATACATTCTGTAAAACTGAATTCTTCTGTGACTCTATGGTGATAGATGGAATTCATTTTGTAAAAATTCGTTTTCAATTCTACTATGCCAAAAGGTGCACTAACATTCAAAAATTAATGGACTCCCACGAAATGCGAACATGTCCTGTAGTAGTGTACCATACTGCAATCAACTATTTCAAAGTTTAATTTAAAATACGTGACAGACGGACAGTGAGAAAACCTGTAGTTCACACCAGCTTAACCGGTAGTGTTTAATAATGCATAAATAGTGGTGACTTGTTTTCATCAATCAAGTCGGAAGATCGTTTAGTCGCTGCACTCCCAACTTTGTACATTTACTTGACCGACATTCGATAATATTTAAACACTTTATGTCCGCTCGATATTTTTGTCAAACATTTCTAAGTGTGTATAGATGTATTCTATGCTCATAACTGTCGAGTCACCCTTCTTAGTTCTTATTAAATAATAGAGATATTTAATTTAAAATATTCAATGGCCAATCAAAACAATACTTCTGTTATTTCTATGTTTTTATTCCCATGGTAACGGGTAACCTGCGAGGTGGAACAGTTTCGCCTACTCGTATCCCATTTCCAACTGTAAATCCCGACGGTTTTGCGAATAGGTGAAATAAAATAGACCATGCTAGCCTCTAAATGAGCTAGTTTGTGTTGAGTGGACGTCATTCCCCACCCGCTCTCTCCATAAATATATACTCACTTGTCTTTGGGTCATCCGGGTCGCCTGTTCCTGGTTTGTCATTGGGTGCCTGATCATTGACGGGAACTGAAAATATTTAAACATATATATTCTTTAAAAAAGAAACTAGCTTTGGCTGAACTTTTGTTAAAATGTTTCATTTTGGGGTTATTTTTAAATACTTTATTAATCTCGATAAAACATAAATAAATAAAAAATAAAATAAAATAAATAATTGAATTGAATTGAATTGAATTACAATTAATTGCAATTCAATTCAATTTAATAATTTAATTTAATTTAATTCAATTCAAGCGAATATTGTACTTACTGTCACAGGTTGTACCAGTAAAGGAATGTTTAATATGATTTAAAGCTTTATAATTCTCTACACGGAATATATGTTGTTCTGTTGGTTCACTAGCAATACCATCCAATTCCTGGGAGTCTACTCCACCACCTACTCCGATAGCAAATACCTTGATGTCATAACTATGAGCAATGGAGGCTTCCAAAAGAGTCTTTTTGGTATCTTGTGAAAAGCCGTCTGTTATCAAAACTACAATCTTTGCCGCCCATTTTCTGGCGCCATTTTCCCCTTTGAACATTTCTTCGCGGACATATTGTATGGCAGCTCCTGTATTCGTTCCTCCATCCACGCGATCGATGGAATTAATGGCGGCGAGTAGTTGTTTTTTATCTTTGTAGGTGTTGAACTTAAAGTTGGGTTTAATGC